ATGTTCTGGCTCTGGTACGAGAGGAACTTTAAAATCTCCAGAGCTCCACCCTGCAGGAGTGCTGCAGGTTGTGTGAAGAAATGGATGCTGATCACACACGTGTGTTTTGGACTTGCCTGAAAATGAGGGTATATTGGGAACAATTAAACACAATCTTAACTTAACACTTCTCTTGTGACGTATCAGATGTAGTAAGGAAGGATGTACGGAAGCCGAGAGGGGTCACAACAAACGCAAACGCCGCAACAAATACAAATGTGACAACACAACAAAAAGCCACAACGGAAGTGACCGCGGACTCTATTTTCCGACGGACCGATCAAGCGGCAAGTGAAGAAGAAGAACTACAACGTGAAACGAATAACGATAAAACAATAAATTACTTTTACTTACGTTTCCAACTTCTCCGTTCCTTTAGTTTTCACGTTGTAGTTCTTCTTCTTCACTTGCCGCTTGATCTGTCCGTCGGAAAATAAGAGTCCCGCAGTCACTTCTGTTGTGACTTTTTGATGTGTTTTGCATTTGAGTTTGTGTTGTGGCGTTTGCGTTTGTTGTGACCCCTCTCGGCTTCCGTAAGAATGACATATGTATTGTATGTATTTGACAAAAATTGTTTTAGCTCAATCTAAAAAGGGAATTACAAAGAGTTGGTTGAAACCAGATCCACCTGCACAACAAAACTGGATCAGGATTGTGGAGAATATTTCAGTGATGGAAAGAATAACATCTTAAACTGAAAAGGTATAAATATGATGAGCAATGGGAAAAGTGGAATGTGTTCATAAATGACGCCAGCACAACAACATAGTAAAATGTCATTACTAAATGCATGTTTAAATAAGAACCTGTAACTCCAGACTGTTGTTACATTGTTTTTCATTTTCTATTGTTTTTGTATGTTTTGAAATGTTACTTTTGGGCCGTTTATTGTTCACACTGGAGTCACATACAAGTCACATTTAATTGGAAATGTGAACGACCTTGCATCGGATTTCACAAAAAAAATCCGAATTGAGCGTTAAGCCCTGCAGTCTGAACGTAGCCTAAGTCACTCCCCCTTCAGAGCACTATCACAGCAGGAGTGTTTCTGATGATGGAACAATGTTATAAGTGTAAAAAGGTAAAACAGTGTCCCCTTTAATACTTTAAGCAACATTTAACCATTTCTTTTCAGGAACACGTTTTACTTTGGTTTACTTTTGATTGTAAAGTCACACCAAATTTTAACTTGGGAATAACTGTTGGGTCCGGTCAAGCAGTAACGGGGCAGATTTTTGACATTCAAATGTATCTTATTCAGAAACTAGAGGGACTATTGAAATAAGTAAAGTATCAGAATGTAGGAAAGAGTTACACTCCAACAGGGTCAAGTTAAACCTGTGATATTCTTTCAAGTTGTTGACAAAAAATTTAAAAACTCATGTCGGTAACGGAGAGAATGAAATATGCAGCACTTTTTGGGCAATAAATCCAAACAGTGATAACTCTTGGTTCTCACTTCCATATCCTTAACAAACTGGTTTGAATATTTGCTTCATATAGTTTTCTACCATATGGTACAAGATTAGGTTGAAAAACCTCTCACTTTTTGACTCATGAGATTTTTTATTAAGAAAGGTCATGGTAACAGAGGGAAAAGTAACGGAGGGAAAATTGTGTAAACAAGTAGAAGGTGCAGGATTTTACATCATTTGTCACTTTTTTCTTCCGAATACTTTAATATTACTTCAAAATGAAAGGAAACTATTTCTATAAAATATGTCAGTCCTTCCAAGCAATTTTTTATCATCTTAAATACATAAAAAAAAAAAATCCTGTACCTTCATCAACAGTTCAAAGATGGAATAACACAAGATATGATGAAATACATCCATTTATTGACATTATTTGCAGGTCTTTGAAATTTGGGAAATAATTTTTGTTCCATGTTTCATACATGATCTGTTTAAAACATATGGAACTTTAGAACCAAAAATGGTACAGAAAAAAGGTCAACAGTTTCATAAACTAGAGTACATATGTATCTGTTCAATACATTTTTATATCAGATGAATTAACTTGAATTTTTGGCCTTGCTGTTTACTTCTTCTTGACCGGGCCCTGTTTTTCTTTTCACCTTTCTCCAAAACTGTAAAAAACAAACAAACAAACCAAACAGAAGAGAAGAGAGAACAGATTTGTAATGACATGTCGTGCGGAGTTAAACCTAACATTAACTCATTAGCTCATTAGCAGGGGCGGGCTGAGATAATGGCCTGTTGGGGTGTGTGTGTGTGTGTGTGCGTGTGCGTGTGTGTGTGTGTGTGTGTGTGTGTGCGTGTGTGCGTGTGTGTGTGGGTCAGACTGAACAGATGTGGGCGTAACATGAGACTCGGCGCAGATGCAGCTGATTGGTCCATTCAAACTGAAACCATAATGACAATAATAACCCACCTCAGCTTATTCTTCCCTGTGACGCAATAAATGTTCCACCATATGGCTTTAAACTCATCCTGTCAGCTCTGTGGAGAGGCAAGCATGTTCTAAAGAGGAATTGAGGTTTTTTGCTTTGGAGAAATGAAAACATAAAAACGATCAAATGCAAAGAGAGCTTCATACACTTCAGCCTACACTTATAATACTGCACACAGCTGCATTTTTAGAACACACACATCATGTTTTTATTCAAATATTATACACTAGTCATTTTATTTAGAGCATGCAACAAGTCATCTACAAAGTTTGTCCAAAATGAAAGAAAGAACTCATCATTTTAGAGGATCTGGACATTTCAACTTGCTCAATATTCAAACTGTTTGTAAAAGTTTGTGTGTGTCTATATGTGGTGTAAATCTCTGGAACAGTCTGAATACACGTCTCAAGCAACAACAAAATATCCATACATTCAAGTAGTTCTGTAAACATATGGGTTGGTCACAGTAAAGGGAGTGTGGGTTTTAATTTTAGAACAATACTGCTTCTGTAGAACTGGTTTATGTTTGTTGTTTGTTTGTGCAGGACTTGTATCTGTTGGTGTGTTTATGTTATAATACCAAACTAATAACTCATTCTCCACACTTGTAACTAGTTCATAAAGAGTAATGCAAAATATCTGAAAAATGCAAAAGAAAGTTCATTGTGTTTGATTAGAGCAGCGGGAGTGGGATTTTCTTCTTTTGTTGTGGTTATTTTTATAAAGATTTCACAAATGTTACATGTTCTGTTGTATAAAAATGTAGATCTCTTACTTGCCCCAAATTAATAAACAATAAATAAAATAATAAATGAATAAATACATGAATAAATACTGTGGAACATTCCAGGAAAAGCAATAAGTCAAGCATGAGTCAGGTTTGTGGAGATGCAAGCACATTCATAGTACAGACACATGTTTTTATTTAAGTCTTTCAGAGGAACAAACATATTCAAAATAAAACATATATTTATATACATATATTATACATATATGTGTATATTATATTTATATTGCAAATATTTGATTAAAAATACAAAATAGTTGTAACACAGTGTGTACTTTAAAGAGTCTGAGAGTAACTGGCTGTTAAAGGAACTGTGTGTGTGTGTGTGTGTGTGTGTGTGTGTGTGTGTGTGTGTGTGTGTGTGTGTGTGTGTGTGTGTGTGTGTGTGTGTGTGTGTGTGTGTGTGTGTGTGTGTGTGTGTGTGTGTGTGTGTGTGTGTGTGTGTGTGTGTGTGTGTGGTGGTGGTGGTCGAAGGGGCCCGATGGGGCAGATTGGCAGCTTTGCTTCCATCAGTCTGTCCCAGGGCAGCTGTGGCTACAATAGTAGTTTAGTAGTAGTAGTTTGAATGAATAATGATCTGTAAAGTGTCTTTCAGTTTCCAGAAAAGTGCTGTTGGATTTCAAATCTCTGTCATCAGATAAGAAGGAACTGATACTGACTTATTAAGTAATACTAAGTAATACTGATTTATTTTTAGATACAAAAACACTGGATGTAATGTTCAAGTTGTTTATTTTATAATTTGGTGTTTTGTTTGTAGATGATTCTCCAATCAAAAGCAGAATGAACCTCACATGAATCTCATTTGTGTTGCCAGTTTCAAAGCTGAAATCCAGAGTGTTTAAATCTAAAATGTCTCTGTGATCTGAATGGTCACTGAACCCCAGCACCTGCACCAGTCAGGAGTCAGTGCAGTGCAGCTTCTGCAGCTCAGGGAGGGAATTCTAGAGGTTCTGAACTTTCACATGAGGCCTGAACATAAACTGAGAATGAGACAAACCTGGACGTGTCTCTGTCTGCAGGTGAAGACTCTTGAGACACAGGTTCAGTTAGAATTAAAGTAACATTTTTTAAAAAGAGCACAGAAAACACACAGTTCCTTTAAGATCAACGAATGGAGTGCTAAAAATAAACTAATAAACTAAACTTCTTATCGTGGATTCACTCCGTGACACATGATTGACGGAGAATCTTTGGAGCACACACATTTTAAGATCCTGCGTGGTTAAGTGCTCCTGTCCTGTCCACGCTGCCCCTGTCCTGTCCACGCTGCCCCTGTCCTGTCCACGCTGCTTCTGTCCTGTCCACGCTGCTCGTGTACATGTCCAGTCAAACACAAGCTCATAAATCAGGCTGTCCTCAGAGCCGCGTCCCCGCGCTCAGCCCTCACTCAGTCCAGAGCAGCGCCACTGAATCAAAGGTCCAAAACAAGAGACGCAGCGCGCACCAATCAGCGCGCTCCGAGGCACAATCACAGCACCATATGTTCCGCCTGGCCCCGCCCCCACGCACACGCACCCCACTCACGCGAACGGAGCCGGACTAGTCCACTTCCACAACACCCACATCCACGCGCGGGCGGACCATGACGGCGCTCTGAGGACGCACCGCGGGGATATTATTACCTTTACTCGCCCGTGACTCTCCGTGGACCGTGTCGTTCCGTGGACCCGTACCGTGGACCTGTACCGTGGGAAAGCGCTCCAGTAGAAGCGGTGCGTAAAAGGAGCGGTTCCACGCACGGAGGCGCAGCGCAGGTCAATGTTCGGTCTGCAGGAGCATCTGATCAGAGACGCGAGCGGAGCGAAGCAGCGCGCCGTGGACGACATGGATCCGGTCCGCTCCTGGGTGCGCAACGTCGGCGTGGTGGACGCGAACGTGGCCGCGCAAAGGTACGATTCCCGGAGCTCTCAGTTTGTCATGTGGTTTTGTCCGGGGGAGAGTTACGCGCGGGACCGGAAAGTTTACGGGGCACGAGAGAGAGAGAGTCCCGAACAAGAGGCACACAGTTTTGGATCCGCTGCCTGGCGCTTGGCACAGTCACGTCTCCTCACGCCAAATAAAGATGAACACAGATTATATCGGGATGTGTGAGGAGCCGGTTTAAAATGTCAGTCCATCGTGAACACATCATTTCCAAGCGAGTTCCAAAAGATTTACACTTTTACAGAATATAACATGACGACATTACGTGAACATAAATATAAGAACATATAAAACCCGCCTCCTCCTCTCAAACTCTTCATGTTATTTTGCAGAATCAAACCGAACACGCACACACTGCTCTCCGCGTCTCCTCCGCCGCGCGCATTGGCCCGTGCGCCTCTTGGAGCAGAACCAACTACTTGTTGCAAAAGCGCTCAAACTGTTGTAGGCCTCCACTTTTAGTTTAATTATTATTATTATTATTTTTATTACATGAGGGAAAATGAGCGGGCGAAGTTGCGAGAAGCTCTTTAACTTTAATAAAGTCAGACTCGATGAAAACGTGTTTATTTCTGCACACTGTCTGCATATTTTAGACTCTTACTTTGTGATTTATTTTGTCAAAGAGCGGCGCGTAAAGAGTGCGTAAAGAGTGCGTAAAGAGTGCGTAAATAATTCTCGCACCAGTGTCTTCAAACCCGGAGCTCAAAGCGGGACTCAAAGCCTCTTTTCGTTCACACAGGCCCGCGCACGCACGAGCCTCAAAGTGAAATATTCAACATGATTTTCGTTACATTTTAGAATAAAACAGATGACACTAACTCAACAGAAATGAGCAATAAATGATCATATTTAACCCGTTCTGTTTTATCGTTAATAATAATAGTAATAATAAAAAATAATCTTTACGCGGCGCATGTGGCTCTTTGTCGCGGACTCGATTCTTATAATGAATGTGATTATTCAAATGTGGAAGTCTCCAGAGAGTCTCGCGCGTCTCGTTTCATTCAAAATGGCCTTTTCTGTAGAATCAACCTCATCTGGCGTCAGACGTCCTCACGCCGCTCTCAATCATCTACTTTGATTTTATTAAAAACGAGGCCCGGCGCGCGTCAGGGCAAAGGGCACGTTCGGATCACACGTTACAAATGTCCCACCAATTTGGAAGTTTTGTTTTAAAATTATTAAGAGCAATTTTCGTAATCTTAAACATGCACAACCCGGATTATTTACGCACGTGTGATTTCAGGCCAGATTCAAATGAAATGAGACGTGCCCTTTCTCTTTTCCAAAATCAGTGCTGCGCGTCGTTCAGCGTTTTACCTCTGCCTTATAAAAATGTGAAATTAAAAATTGACATTAAATATTTGAGTGACAATCTGAAATTCTTAAATTATTGACTTAAAAGCCCTCAAAGTTTTCAATTCGATTTGAATCATTTGGTACACAGAAAAAAACTGGAGGGTTAAAATTTCATGGTAAAATATTTCAGAGTTGTTTTTAACACCAAAAGTGTTATTTTAACTATTTGAAAGTTAAATGGGGGTTTGAGTTGGAGTTATTTGCCAGAGTTGATGTGGTTGAGGTTAATTCAACTTCCCTTAGTGTTAATTTGGCTCCTCCCAGTCACCACTTCAAACTCTTGTGAGAGTAGACTATTTGGAACCAGTTTTGTTCATAATTTCATCTTAAATGAACTAAGATAAAGTAAAAATAAAATAAAACGCCTCTGTGTGTTGTTTAACTAAACCAGGATAACTCTATAAAGTGTTATCTGTTTACTCTCAAAATGTTCATATGACTCTTGATTTCGGGATTAAACAGGAACTTTTGTTCAGTGTTACTTAATGAACATTTCCAAAATTGTTAAATTAACTCTAGAACAGATTGGACTCAAATAAACTCTGAGAAAATGTTAAAATTGATTCTGTGAAAGTCAATTTGAACACTCCACTTTTTGCTGTGTGAAGTTCACCTTTTCATTTTCGTTTAGTCGGTTTAAGGTCCACATTTTAAAATTCATAAAATCATCTGTAATCATGATCTGTAATTTGTTAAAAATTATTGTAAATAAAACAGCAGGAGAAGTTTTGTAGATGTGTCCGAGTCGTGTAAGAGCGCCGCCTAGAGGACAAAAACATCAAACATGTGTCTAGTTAACGTTCACATGTTGGAGAATGGAGCTTGTCACTAATAAAAATGCTGAGGGAAACTTTCGTGGACGTGACTTTGGGACAGTGTCCTGATCCAGACGTCCACACTCTGACCTGTGTGTCCTCTGTGTGTGTCCCCCAGCGGAGTGGCTCTGTCGCGGGCACACTTTGAGAAGCAGCCCCCCTCGAACCTCCGCAAATCCAACTTCTTCCACTTCGTGCTGGCGCTGTACGACCGGCACGGGCAGCCCGTGGAGATCGAGAGGACGGCCTTTGTGGACTTTGTGGAGCACGAGAAGGTACGGAGCAGGAGCAGGGCTGGAGGACACAGAACACTGCTTTATGAATGTTGTGATGATCAGGAGAAACGTGAGAAAGACCTCGGCTCAGTCTGGTCTACAGGCTGTGACAGACACACCACCAGTAAAGTTCTAGTTTATATTCAGTGTTGGAAAGGTGACTTTTAAAATGTATTCCCCTACAGATTACAGATTACATACCCCAAAATGTAGTTTGTAACGGAATCCATTAAGTTACTTAAAGTGAGTAATGTAATCTGAATACTTTGGATTACTTGTATTGTCGTGCTTTTTAAAACGACATGAATGTATCGACCACATCCTGAAAATTCTTGTTTGTTCTTCAAATTGTCTGTTGAGCCCAAGTCTCCATGAATAAGCAACTGTTTACTGTAGAGAAGCAAAGACCAGAAAATCTTAACATAAAATGTTTTGTTTTGTCTCTTTAAAGAAAATAAAAAGCCCAGACTTTACTTAAACATATTAAAAATATTATTGATAGAGAAATGATTTTTATATGAGACACTGCTGCTTTAAATTATGTCCACCTCCTGTTAAGTGTCATATTGTTTAGACCTGGTTTAGTCCTGGTTTAGTCCTGGTTTTAGACCTGGTTTTAGACCT